AGCGGGCGGAGCCGGCGCGACGCCGACTCTGAGGAGACGCGGGCGCTGCGGGCCGGAGGGCCTGAGCCCCGGGCGGCGGGAGGCTGCGCTCGCCGGGGGTTTGGGCCGCGCACGGGGTGAGGACTCTGACGTGGAGGCCGCGTTTCTCGCCTCGACTGGCGCCGGGTCTCGGTTTTCCGGCGCTTCGAGGGGGCGCGAACGAGGCCCGTTTCAACCCCGGCGAGATTTCGCCCACCCGGGGTGGGGGCGCTCGCGTGACGTCACCTCCCTCACCCCCGGCGGCTCACAATCCAGGGTGGGGCCGCCTGCCGGTGCGTGCGCGCCCGGCGCTCCGGCGCGGGACTCGCGGTTCGGGCCTGGGGCGGACCCTGCTGCAACGGCAGGAGAGGGGCATCCGGTGAGGGCGGAGGATCAGGAGGGCCCCGCGTTTACTTGGCTCCGGCTTCTGGGCTTTCTCGTAAGTGCCCGAAGCTTGGGGTTTTGAGTTGGTGCCGTTTCATTTCCTGAGCTGCTTTAGGCAGGACTTTTTCTGAGTCAGTTGGCTGAGAAATGACATTTAACTTACGGCATTAAGTTGTTAACAGTTGAATTACGTGCTAAACTCAGGGAGTATTTTGTTCTTTTTGTTGTTTTAACAGACAATGCAGATCTTCGTGAAGACTTTGACCGGTAAGACCATCACCCTGGAGGTGGAGCCCAGCGACACCATCGAGAACGTCAAGGCCAAGATCCAAGACAAGGAGGGCATCCCCCCTGACCAGCAGAGGCTGATCTTTGCCGGAAAGCAGCTGGAAGACGGGCGCACCCTCTCCGACTACAACATCCAGAAAGAGTCCACCCTGCACCTGGTCCTCCGTCTCAGAGGTGGGATGCAGATCTTCGTGAAGACCTTGACCGGTAAGACCATCACCCTGGAGGTGGAGCCCAGCGACACCATCGAGAACGTCAAGGCCAAGATCCAGGACAAGGAGGGCATCCCCCCTGACCAGCAGAGGCTGATCTTTGCCGGAAAGCAGCTGGAAGACGGGCGCACCCTCTCCGACTACAACATCCAGAAAGAGTCCACTCTGCACCTGGTCCTCCGTCTCAGAGGTGGGATGCAGATCTTCGTGAAGACCTTGACCGGTAAGACCATCACCCTGGAGGTGGAGCCCAGCGACACCATCGAGAACGTCAAGGCCAAGATCCAGGACAAGGAGGGCATCCCCCCTGACCAGCAGAGGCTGATCTTTGCCGGAAAGCAGCTGGAAGACGGGCGCACCCTCTCCGACTACAACATCCAGAAAGAGTCCACTCTGCACCTGGTCCTCCGTCTCAGAGGTGGGATGCAGATCTTCGTGAAGACCTTGACCGGTAAGACCATCACCCTGGAGGTGGAGCCCAGCGACACCATCGAGAACGTCAAGGCCAAGATCCAGGACAAGGAGGGCATCCCCCCTGACCAGCAGAGGCTGATCTTTGCCGGAAAGCAGCTGGAAGACGGGCGCACCCTCTCCGACTACAACATCCAGAAAGAGTCCACTCTGCACCTGGTCCTCCGTCTCAGAGGTGGGATGCAGATCTTCGTGAAGACCTTGACCGGTAAGACCATCACCCTGGAGGTGGAGCCCAGCGACACCATCGAGAACGTCAAGGCCAAGATCCAGGACAAGGAGGGCATCCCCCCTGACCAGCAGAGGCTGATCTTTGCCGGAAAGCAGCTGGAAGACGGACGCACCCTGTCCGACTACAACATCCAGAAAGAGTCCACCCTGCACCTGGTCCTTCGCTTGAGGGGAGGTGTCTAAGTTCCTCCTTTTAAGCTTACAACAAATTTAATTGCACTTTTCTTTCAATAAAGTTGTTGCATTCCCAAGTAGTGTATTTTCTTTTTTTCTAAGCTAGAGTTAAGGTTCTTTGGGGTGGGTGGTATGAGGGATTAAGGTTTTCAGTCTAGAAAATGGCATCTGTGGTGACCAGGAGGTAAGAAGTGTCAGTATAAGGTGGCTGCTAATATTTTCTGTGGAATACCAGCAAGAAGGCGAAACTTCTGAAAAGGGAGTAGTCGAAGGAAACCTACAGAAGAATCTGCTTTAATATATAACATAAGCTATTTAAATTTACAGTTGCACAAAAAAACCAGGTGGGGTTTTTTTTGACCAGATTATTTTAAAGGGCAGGTAATTTGTATTAAATATGAAAAGTTTGTATAACAAATTGGGTGAAGCAATTGGCCTTTGGTCTTCATTTTTTGGACGTTTATAATGGTATTTAACCAGTTGGGATGTTGGTAAGGAATTCTTTATATGTCAACTAGCACCAGTGGACGTTCAGGGAAAGCTGGTTTAATAAAAGGGGTAATAGGCATTCAAAAAATCAGGTCCACAAAAGGAAAGGGTCTCTCCAAAGGGTACCACCTCTTAACACTCCTTCCAAACCCCCAGTTGTAGGGTAGCCCTGTGTAACATGTAGATGTCACTATCCATTATAAAATAGCTAAGGTCAGCAAGTTCAAGTCCTAGATTGAGATCCCAACTAGAAAATGCCACTTTAGAAATCCAGAAATTATAGGTAAGCGTTTTTCACTTGGTGCTAGCATAAGTGCATGTAATGTGTAGTTCATTGAGTTTCCATGACTCAGTCAACATACAGGTCAAGAAACAATGTTGCAAGAGGCCTGGGAACACCTGCACCTGTAGCTATTTCCAGTCACTGCTGGGAGTCTAATTTTGGTGCTCATTAAAATTGGTCATAGCATAGGGGAAAAAAAAATTTATATGATCACTGCAGGACAGGTATTGTGACGTTCTTAAGTTAAAGATGTGTGCTTTTGAGTCTTCAAATACAAGAGGTTCAGTAGCCAATGACACTTTAACACGGGGGAGGGGGGGTTGGGTAATGTTAGCCTGATGTCCCTTAAGACAAATGGAGATGCTGCCTGCATTGTGCAGAGCTGGGAGGGTCCTGGCTTTGGAGCATTAGAGTGTTAGTCTAATAAAACTTGCAGGTATGGGGGTGCTCAACAGAGAGCTCACTGGAACACTTAGCTCCTCGAACTAAGACATTCCCTGTCAAGTGAAAGGAATTGGTAATCACAGGTGTAAATGACAGGTTTTGAAAAGGCAATGCAAGCACATTAAAAACAATGGAAAGTGAAAGTTCCTTAAAAGCTTATTTTCAGGAAAAGACATGAGTTAGGGATGTTTCCTCCTTTATAGTGTATACGTAATGTTACAAAGTCAATCCACCTAAATGCCTCATCAAGTACCCATTTTTACTTCCAAGTGATTACTTTTAGAGTTTGGTATTTCGGACTTTCCTCATATGTTATATACACTACATTTTTATATCCATACATACGTATGCACACAAATACATGCATTCATATACAGATAGGACCATTACCAACAATGTTTCTCAGCTATTTAGACATTTGCCAGCATGTCTCATCTACCTCATTCTTTTTAATACTCTTGCTAGTAGCCCATTGTATGAATGCTCTATGATTTATTTAACCTGTCTGCCAACATTTGTTTGCAAGATTTTGCTGTTATGGTGCCACTGCAAGGTCTACCCTTAGACACATATCTTTATATATACTAATATTTTGAAAAGAGCATAAATGCAAGATTTATTTTTAGTAAGGCTCTTAGGCATAATGAAAAGTAAGTCATAACTTATTTTTCTAACATTGTTGTCCCATATTTTCTAATTCTTCCAGTTAGGTAATACTTTGATGTCTTTCAGATACATAAAAAGTTTAAAACTATAACGAAAAGACTTCCATCCTGTCCCATCCACCCAGTTCTCCAGGCCCCAGTAAGTATTTTCAGTTTTCTACACATATACAATTACTGATTAATCCCCTCTCATACAAAAGGCAGCATACTGGTTTGCAGTTCTGCACTTTGCTTTTCCACTTTATAACTTTCATAGTTTCTACAGTTGTAACATCCTTTCACGTCATATAATGGAAAAATAACCTTTTAGGTCATTTTCTCAAGAATAAAACCACCAGGGCAGCACAGGCCTAGTAAACATTTAAGGGACCCTCCATCCAGCAAATACAAGCGCGTCAGGAATTGTAGTGACAGTGACGAATGAGAGGGGTTTCTGCCATTAAGGGATCTCAGGTCCAGTCAAATAACAGATGCTAGACTTAGTTTCACGGAACGGTGGTTAAAATCGTAAAGCGCCCCAAAGTTTGGTTTCATATTTGATAAATACTATGAAAGGATTCACTTCCATAGATGCAGTTGTGTGAGCCTTGAATAAAC